TTCAAAATGTCTGTTTTGTCAGAAAGGTTAGCACGCTATCAAAAGAAGAAAGTAATTTTGTTTATCTTGTATTTGCTGGCCATTCTTAAATAAACTTGACAGGTGCAAAAGTAAAATTGTTTTAATTTTCTTCCTCCAGCCAAAAATGGTATCAAGAAACGTGAGAAAAACAAGAAAGGGAATGAAAAGATGCCAGATGGTGACTCTGAAAGTCGAAGTGCCTATGAAGACATCAGAGAAAGTATGTGAGAAGTGTTTAAAATACCATTATTGGTGTTGTGGCTGCTCTCTTTAACTATGTTTAAATTACACGGGATATTGTAGGGTTGTTGGTTGTAGCACTGTTGGGCTAAGGACCAAGGCAGACAAGGTTCTTTGGGTAGATGTGATATTTTTTTATTAGACCAACTGAATAGCTGGAAAAATTGTTCTTTGCAAGCTTTCAGGCACAAACATCCTTATTTAGGCATAGGGAGAGTGTTAGTTTTTTGCTATGTCTAAGGCAGCAGTTCCCAACCTCGGGTTGTGACTCAAATGAGGGTTGCGGGGGCAATGCCAGCGGCACCACATACGAAAAACGAGCTGCGCCATGTGCTGGGAGCTCCCCTGCCCCCATCCCTGGGCCACCACCATTGCACTCCACTCCCAGCAGCAGGTCATGGCAAAAAAGGTTGGGAACCACTAGTCTAAGGTCTGTGTTAAATTGGGAATCACATGTTGAAACAACACTGTGTGGGAGAAAGTAAAGGGACAAGGAATTTGTCAGTATGTGACAATACTTTAAGGTACAGAGAGAGAGGTAAGGAGCCTAAATCCTATTTCCACAGCTATGGAAGAATACAGGAGCTTTAAAATGGGTGTCTCTGGAATGGTGGCTAAAGGACCTTAGAACAAATTAGAAGCAAACACGATATATACTAAATAGTTTTAAAAGAATAAGGTATATTTTCAGCTTATAAATGAGATTGGCATTTCTGAGCAGTGCTAGATAGAAAGCCCCAGAGACAGAAGTCTTCTCTTTGGAGCCTAAAGACAGAAGTCTTCTCTATGGAACATCAAGAATGAAAGATTTATGATTCTTTCCCACTAACAAATGTTAAACTTCCATTAAGTATGTGAAATAGCTCAGACCAATACCAATTGTGACCGTGGTTTCTGTACTGTGGATGGTGTCCGTTGTGATTCAGTTGATAATTTCTCTGATTTCAAAAGAAGTTAACAAACTGGATCAGAAAATAAATGACCTCATGTAGATTAGTGATCTGGTGGTGAAAAACTCCATAATACCATAAAAGACAAAGTCTCCCAAGTATTTGTAACATTTTTAGTACAGACATCTTATGTACTTCTATAGCTATCTTGGAGATTAAAATAAATAGGTAGTGGGAGTAAAATGCAACTGCTTCTGTCACCAAAAAATCCTAAAAAGGAATTAAAAAAAGAAGTTATAAATGTCTTGTGCTGGTGACCTAAATTTGTTTCTCATTCCCATAGCTTCTATCTTATAGACCTGGAAAATAGTATATTAATAGTAAATAGTTTATATATTTTTTTCAATTTATGAAGTTTTCATTTTTTTTTATTGAAGTGAATTGTCCAATAAACTTTTTTATGTGAAAATATGTCAGCCTGCAGGTTGATTGTAAATTTTTTTTGGCATGTAACTGGCACCAGTCCCATTCTGTTATAATTAGCAGGATACTGCTTTAATTTCCTATAGAAAGGATCACTTTAAAAATCTCAACAATTTAAAATCTCATGAAGTTTATATTCAAGGGGCCTTTTGTAAATAGATGAAAATCTAAGTATCCAGCTATATTGAAAAAATGATGGTTGAGAGTAGAGACTGGAGCTCGAGAGACCTGGTTTTAGTTTTAGGCTTTCCACTTTTATTGAGGATTAGCAAAATCCGTGGCAGTTGAGTTAAGCACCTAGGCTTCCTAAAGAAAGCATGGGGAAAGTTAGATGCTGTAGAATGGGTTTCACAGCAGCCAAAACACTGAGCAGGGAGTTGCCTAAAGTAGATGATAATGAAACCTGAGAAGAGAGGTGTCTTAAATCTTGTTCCTCCTTTAAAGCAGTCTGACCTGAACGGAGGTATTTTCCTCCTCTTGGCAGTCAAAGGCCTTAACACTTTCCTGAAGGCAGGTGCTTCAGTTTTTTATTTCAATTAAGAAGCAAGGGACATTCCTTTCAAAACAGATTTGGAGTTGGTGATGGGGATGTTGCACTTAGATCTAGTATCTCATTGCTAAGGCAGTATTTCAGTATTTTATCCAATGTCTATTCCATAAAATAGTGAAAAGAGTCTTTGGAGCAGGTCTCCCTATTTCTATATGAGTGACCTAACCTTTAGGTTGGAGAACAGTATTCTTGCTCTGTCTCTGGCTTAATGAATAATTTCATTAATAATCAATAATTTGTTGAAGTGAAATGAATAGCTTCAACAGCCAAGTTTTGGAGCACCCTCACCCTGCAGAAGCTGGTGATTTAGACATTATTCTGGAAGGTGGGATATGTGTGTTTGAATCCCCTTTAGAAAAATAAGGTGTCTTCATAGATTTCATAGACATTAGGGCTGGAAGGGACCTTGGAAGATCATCGAGTCCAGCCCCCTGCCTGAGGTGCAGGAAGGCAGCTGGGGTCATAGGATCCCAGCAAGATAAGCATCCAAATTTCTCTTGAAGGGGTTCAATGTAGGTGCTTGAACCACCTCCAGTGGCAGGCTATTCCAGACCTTGGGGGCTCGGACAGTGAAGAAATTCTTCCTTAAGTCCAGCCTGAAATGGTCTTGCAGGGGTTTATAACTTGGAGCACTCTGGTGAACAATCATTCCCCCAGATCCTGGTGGTCACCCCTGATAAACTTAGAGGTGGCCACCAGATCACCCCTGAGCCTGCGCTTTTCCAGGCTAAAGAGCCCCATAGCTCTCAGCCTGTTGTTGTAAGGTCTGTTTTCCTGACCTCTGATCATGCGTGTGGCTCTTCTCTGGACTCTCTCAAGCTTCTCCATATCCTTTTTGAATTGTGGAGCCCAAAACTGGACTCACTACTCCAGCTGCGGCTTCACCAAGGACAAGTACAATGGGAGAATGACGTCCAGGGATTTGCTTGAGAAGCATCTATGGATGCAAGCCAGCGTTCTGCTTGCTTTACTAGCCGCAGCATCACATTGAAAGCTCATGTTCATCTTGTGGTCAATCATGACCCCCAAGTCCCTATCGTCTTTAATGCTAACCAGTGTAGCACTGCTGAGCCTATAAGGATGCTGCAGAGTTTCCTCCCAAGGTGGAGAACTTTGCATTTTTCAGTGTTAAACACCATCAGGTTCTCATCTGTCCATTTCCTGGGCCTGTCAAGGTCAGCTTGTTTCATAGTTTCATAGTGGAGGGACCTGAACAGATCATCTAGCCTGACCCCCTGCCACAGGCAGGAATGAATGCTGGGTTCACAAGACCCCAGACAGGTGATCATCCAACCTCCTCTTGAATTTGCCCAAGGTAGGGGTGAGGACCACTTCCCTGGGAAGTTGGTTCCAGATTTTGGCTACCCTAACTGTAAAATATTGCCTTCTGATCTCTAACCTAAACCTATTCTCCATCAGCTTATGACCATTGTTCCTTGTCACCTCAGGTGGTGCTGGGGAGAAAAGAGCTCTGCCTATTTGCTGTTGATCTCCCCTGATGAGTTTGTAGGCAGCCACCAGGTCCCCCCTCAGCCTCCTCTTGCTGAGGCTGAACAGGTTCAGGTCCCTCAGTCTCTCCTCATAGGGCCTGTCCTGCTGCCCTCTCACCAAGCAGGTGGCCTTCCTCTGAACCCTCTTCAGGCTGACCACATCCCTTTTGAAGTGTGGCGCCCAGTACTGGATGCAGTACTCCAACTGCGGCCTGACCAAAGTCACATAGAGGGGGAGGATCACCTCTCTGGACAGGCTTGAGATGCATCTTTGGATGCATGACAAGGTATGGCTGGCCTTGCTGTTGCAGTCTGGCATTTTTGTAGTCTGTCTAAATCTAGTTGCAGCCTCTCTCTCCCTTCAAGTGTGTCCACCTCACCCCACATATTAGTGTCATCAGCAAACTTGGACAGCATGCTTTCCACCCCCTCGTCCAAGTCGCTGATGAAGATGTTAAAGAGTGCGGGCCCGAGGACCGAGCCCTGGGGTACCCCACTGCTCCCATCTTGCCAGGTTAAGTACAACCCGTCCACCACTACTCTCTGGGTGCACCCCATTAGCCAGTTTTTTACCCATCCAACTGTGTAGGCATCAATGCCACAGTCATTTAATTTATTGATGAGGATGGGGTGAGTGACAGTGTCAAAGGCCTTCTTAAAGTCTAGAAAGACTACATCCATGGCGACACCATCATCCAAGGATTTAGTTACTTGGTCATAAAAGGCAATCAGGTTGGTCAGGCAGGATCAAGGAGATGTGCTCCTTGATGATTCTCTCCAAGATCTTCCCGAGCACCGAGGTTGGCTTACAGGCCTATGATTACTTGGGTCCTCCTTCCTCCCCTTCTTGAAAATTGGGACCACATTAGCCAGTTTCCAATCCTCCGGCACCTGGCCAGATGACCACGAATGCTCATACAGCTGGGCCAAGGGCTCCATGATGACCCCTGGTAGCTCCCTCAACACCCGTGGGTGGAGGGCATGTGGACCTGCAGATTTAAAAATGTCTAGCCCTTCCAGAAGATCCCTAAGTACATGTGTGCTGACTGAAGGCTTGGGTGGAGCTATCCACAAGATTGTCCCTACCTCTGGTAGGTGGGATATCCTGGTCCCTGTTCAAAAAAACAGAGGCAAAGAAATTGTTAAAAATATCAGCTTTCTTGTCTGGCTTAGCCACAAGATTACCGTTTGTGGCTTGCAGGGGGCTTACATTTCCTGGTGTCCTCTTCTTGCTCCCAATGTATTTGGATCGCCCTCCTGTCCTCAGGTGTGGATGCTTTATCTCAGAGTTTGGTATCATTGGTGAACTTGGCCAGTCCGCTTCTGACTCCAATGTCCACATCATTAATGAAGATGTTGAACAATATAGATCCAAGGACAGAGCCTTGGGGGACCCCACTGGTCCAGGGCACCACGATGATTGACTTCCATCAACCACCACCTCTGGGTCTGACCATGGAGCCAATTCCCCAGCCAGCGGATCGTGGTGGACCCGAGGATACAGTTGCTCAAAAGCTGAGAAGCTGGATAAAAGTCAGACTACGCACCATCACTCCCTTCTCTGGTG